TCTCCCCCAGGGCTGAGCGTCTCCCGAGCTGCTCTCCCCCAGGGCTGAGCGTCTCCCGAGCTGCTCTCCCCCAGGGCTGAGCGTCTCCCGAGCTGCTCTCCCCCTATAAACACTGCAGACGTTTTGTTTCTCTTTGTTATTTCCATAATCGTTTCCCATTAGACTTTTAATCATGTCTAATTTTAGCTGCTTGTATGCAGTTTTTCTTGTAAATTTGCTTTTGGGGCTACTATGCTGGGAAAGATATAAAAATAAAGTTAATTAAATTTACTTTAATTGAACAATGGGATCAGGTCTCGTTCCGGGAGAAGCGATAATCATATTAACAGGCATATCCTGCTATCTGAAACACGTGCCTTTATGTGTGGCCCCCTGCTGGCCACAGAAGTTACTGCACTCAATATGAGATAATTTAGTTTACATTTACAGAATTTGGAAGACGCCCTTAGCCAGAGCAACTTAATAAGTGCTTGGAAGTCTCAGTGAATACATTCTGATACTCGTTCAATAGAACCCAACTAAAAAATACTATCACTCTAAAAACCCAGTTTTTTTAAGAGTATAATCCTGGAAGTTCTTTTGGGTAGGAGCGTGCTGGTCCAATTTCAGCTATGCAGGCAAACATCAGTGTTTTGAATCTGGTGCGGGCAGCTACAGGAAGCCAGTTGAGGGACCGTAGCAATGGTGTGGTGCGGGAGAATTGGGGAAGGTTGAAAACGAGGTGACAGCTGCATTCCAGACGAGTTGCAGAGGACAATTGGCGCTCAGAGGCAGACCTGCTAGGAGTGAGTTACAGCAGTCTAGTCTCAGGATGATGAGAGACTGAACAAGTACCTGAGTGATCTGTGTGGAAAGAAATGGACAAACACTTCTGATGTTGAAGAGGAGAAATCGACATGAGCGGGAAAGATTAGCAATGTGAGAGGAAAAGGAGAGGTGACTGTCGATGAATACCCCAAGGTTACGGCTGGTGTCCGGAGGAGAAATCAGAGAGTTCCTTATGTAGAAGATGCTGAAGCATCACGTTCCACTAAAATCAGCTAGCTACGATCTTCTGACTGTTGTGTGTGTGTGTGTGTGTGTGTGTGTGTGTGTCCGCTTGCTGTATGGAAACCCATCTTCCATTAT